GGGAATTCTGGGAGTTGAAGTCCACACATCTTAAAGTTCCCAAGGTTGAGAAACACTGCTTTAGATGGTGTAAATGACAGGTTTACAATGTTAAGGTACTAGTATTATAACACATTTTCAACAAATGTACTTTCAGCTGAGATGAAACCTTCACTTGAAATCTTCAAATGAACCTAGTGTATTTGTTGCCCAGTGCTTCAAAATCATTTTTTAAATTCTGCTCCTTTGGATTAAAAACAAAATGTCCCTCACTTAAGTGTTCGATTTGTTACATTTCTGAGATCCTTCAGAAAGGGTCAGTACTATAATTTAGGAGTCCTGGTCATATAATCATATTTGTCAGCCACCTCCTGTGCAGTTGGAGAAAAATCACATTTTGAAATGCAGATACCTCAGTCCAAATCAAGACTTGATGATGCTATTGTGGGTAAACCTATTCATTTTTTGTGAGTTTATGGTTCTGATATGATACTATTCTGTGCCTCTGAGTTGGTTATGTGTCCCCCCTCTACTCCACCCAATCCCACTTACCAGAAATGTAGGTAGTGAGTTTCCCACTGGAAAAAGTTGTTGGGGAAATACCATCAGGCAGGAAGACTGAGCTGTATCGTTCTTTGGAATGTGGCCTTCACTTTCTTTTAGCATAAAAATACTTCCCTCTCCAGCACAGTACTTAAGATTTTAATCAGTTCACATTTTGGTAGTTTCACAATAGAATAGCCAAAACGATGTCCTCGTAGAGACATCTTTCCTTTTCTTTTCCCATGTACTGTTTCAATAGATTTTAAATGTCCTGCAGTACCTGTGATTGCTATTCTTTTCTTTCAGATCCAATAAGATTTTGAGATGTCCTTTATATTTGACTGGATTTACAGCGGCTTCAGTAGTGTACTGCAGTTTTTAGGTAAGGTATCCACAGTTCCTTGCCAATGTTCAAATTCACATTCATGGTGGGTCCTTTTTTTTACACAGTTTTGTTTAAAAAAACTTCATTTAGGTTGATGCAGATTGACTGATATTTCTTATCTATTGATTTAGACATGCTAAAGGATATTCGTATAAAACTACCTCCAATTCTTTTCTCTGTCTTAACATCCTAAAGAATTATCTTTGGTTACAGTAAATGATACTAAAATACATGAAAAAGCACAGCTAATAGTTTGAACTATTTAAAAAATGTCACTTTTAATCTGTTTGGCAACTTGGTTTTTGGTCTATCACAAAGATAGAGAATATGGCCTTCACTTTTTTTTTTTTAGCATAAAAATACTTCCCTTTCCACAGAGAGTCATGATCCTTCCCTTTACTAATCTTGATCTATACCTGCCAACAGTCCATCATCTTAGCCCCTATTGCTGGTTTAATTTTTCTTTACATTTGGCTATGGCATGCCAGCCACCGTTTCCAAAGTACCTTCTTCCTTTTATCCCTGTATTCAGCTAGTTAGGTTAATAAATAAGCCTGCTCCTGGCATTTACAATAAAAAGTGAGTCACAAACATGCAAAACTGTTATTATATCATGAGGAATATTATCCCCACCTTTACTCTGTAAGGAACAAGGTGCTGGTAAACCGATTAAGGCTGGGGTTCTCAGATGGTGAGTTGTGACCCTCCAAGTGGTCATGTGCAAATTAGAGGGGGTTGGCCATTTTTTAAAAAATATGATCAGGCTTGCAGAGACAAAGCTTGAGTGCTGCCAAAATTCACTCTGGTCTTTGATCCTGCTTGCCTGTGCAAGCCTGCAAAGTTTAAGAAGCCATGTGATACACAGGTAAATAAAAGCGATATCTCAACATTAACCCCAATTAAATAGTTTTATTTATGGAGCAGGGTGCATCAATTCATTTATCATTTTAGGCCTTATGGCTGTAATAAATGATATGATTTGGTTCACAATAAACCCCCTGGATTAAGGGTGGGGTGAAATGGAGAGACAAAATATACCTGGTGGATAATGCAAGAGGAAAGGAAGTTGCTTGGCAGCTTCTAAATCCGTCAGTGCCTTTGAGAGACTCATGCACTGAGTCCGCCCATTGCTGCAAGTAGGTACCATGTGTTCTTTTTTGTTCGTATACTGCAGTGTTGTCCAAACTTGGCCACTTTAAGATGAGTGGACTTCAACTCCCAGAATTCCCCAGCCAGCATGGCTG